CTCCTCCTCCTCCTGCTCCTCCTGCTCCTCCTCCTCTCCATCTCTTTCTTATAATGGGTCCATCCCATCTCGTCGTTATAACTATGGACCCCTAAACGACGTCCCACAGACCCCTGGTCCCGTTTGCCCTCCTCCTGCTCCTCTGTCTGCTCCCGCGGCCCTCCTCCTCCACCTCATCCACCTCCCCCCACTCGTTCTCATGACCCTCCTCCTGACGTTCTCCCCGCGCTTTGGAGGCCCCACGCCGCATGGGGTGGGTGGGCGGCGCCTGGACCGTCTTGCCGAGGCCCATGACGTCCTGGGGCTGCCGCCCGCCGCGGCACCCCGCCCTCCCCCCCTTCGGGAGCGTCCGCACGGGTCCAGCACCGTGCCTGGACGACGCCGGCCGGCATCAGAAGGGGCGTCGGGAGGCAACTCCTGGGAGGTGTCGGTGGGCACGAATACGGGGCCAATGCTAAGCCCGACTCGCCGATGTGCAGTCAACCAGTATAGTAAAGATGCGGGATAAGGATGCAAGGGCCTTGGAAGGCCACGTCGAAGCTTTTCGAGCGGGGCGCGACCAACGAAAGCGGCCAAGGGTGGGCCGAGGTGGCAAGGATGCAAGAGGGTGCCCTTGGGACGGTTGCCCGTCCTTACTTTTCGGATTGACTGTAGCGGGCCACCCAAGTCGGACTGGTGGGGGGCTGGCAGGAGGGGGGTAGGCAAGGGGGGGAGATTGATGGACCAAGCCGTTCAATGAAATGCGCCGTGTGGCCCGGGCCCCTGCTTTAACTCGAAGCGAAAGGGGGCCACAAAAGGGCGTGGTTCAGCAACGAGGCGTAGGAAGGAGCTACTCAAATCCCCAGAGTTAGGTTGGGCATGTCCTCCTACACGCGGATGTTGGACGAACAATTAAAACAATACTCCAAACATATTCCAAGATAGTCGGAACATATTCCAAAAATCGTCCCCAATCTATGTTTTGACTATGTTTAAATATTCGTCCGGAAGAGGGGCATGCCCGACTGAACCCCAGAGGGAACGGACCGAAGAAGATCAGACTTTGAGAAAGAACAATGTGTCCATATTTCGTCGGCGATATTATGCTTTACATCGTCTGGCACCCCATGCAAATAAAAGGAGTACCCCACCTCCAAAAGAGATGCCGACCATGTCCCTGGTGTTCGCTGAAGGATGACGCAGTCTGGGGGTGGCACGCGCATGTGGGCAACTCCCTGCGGGTCTGAAAGAGAACCTCATCGTCCAAGTCCAAAACCCATGTTTCACAATCGACTCGGATCCGCTAGTTCACCCTGACCTGGATGTCTTGGACTTCCCCCATCGGGAAATTCCGTGGGCCAAGCTTTTGACGCAACAGTATACAGCGCATGATTATGATCATGCAAAGGCGTCTTTTCTGGTACAGCAAACATCGCGCACAGGAAAAGAAACGCGTTATCACCCTACCCTCCAGCAGCTCAAACTCGCGTGCCAGCTCCCCCTGCCTGGCAAACAGCGCGACTCGATGTCCGATGAAACACACCCAAACTTGATTACTCATTTCCTGCACAGCTGCAGACGCATCACGGCCCAGGGAAATAATCCCGCCCACACAGCGACCACCCACATTTCTCGAGACTCTTGGAACCCGATCCCCCTCCAGAATATACTAGCAACGTCGTCGGCGACAACTTCCATGCAAGAACAGACCCGCACGCTCACACCGCAGCACTCCTCGTATAACATCCTCTTACCACATCGCGCCAATATGTAAACGTATGGGTTGGCACCCCAGTGTCGGTGGATACATGAAATAGCTGTCGGCGAACATTGTGAAAAGGACGCTGCTGCGTCTGAAGCTACCTGAAATCCTGAAGCGTTGGCGAACGCAACAGCGGCCATGCGTGTCTACGTGCCCGCCGTTGTCAAATCCAGAGCAACGCATCACGCCCTTTGCCTCCGGCTGTGGCCAGCTGTCTCCGAGGGCGAACGACCTGGTCTAGCGTTTGAGGACGGTTGTTTTCTCGCAGCGCTCCAGCACTATCTGCTATCTTGAGTGTGTCCACGGCGGAGACAGACGCTTGCATGTTTCGCTGGAAGGGCGAGGCGATGCTTCTGCTGGGATAGGATGTGGCTGTTCTGGAAACTAACTCAGCGGTCTGGCGTCGTGGATCTGGGGCAGGAGATCGTGAATTGATGCGAGCAGTGTGCGCAACGATTCCCCGTTTGGGCGAGAATGTCGTTGAACCTGTACGCTTATCAACGCGTGCATTGGTTCCACGACCGCGGATTGCAAGCGACAGAAGCCGTCAGTGTGAAGGCAAGGTTAAAACAAGGCCGGGGCCGCGGGGCCTGCGGGGCCTGCGGCTGGGGCCCCAGGTGCCGAGGCCACCCTCAAGGGCATGCAGAATCTAAGTGGGCGCGCGGTGTACGGGGGTGCGGGGCCGCCTGGTCTCAACTGGGCGCTGCGTCTCGCCCAGATGGGGCGGGAGACGCGGTTCGGGACCGCGATGCTGGAGCAGGCCGTACCGACGCGGGCACGGCGGCACACCCAAGCGACAGTGGTGCGGGAGGTGGCGGCGCGGTCGCCCGCGCTCTCGCGGCGGCAGCGGGCGGGGCAGCTCACGGCCAGCATGCCAGAGGGGATGGGGAGACGGAGGTAGACAAGCGCGTTCCACTACTCGCAAGGTAGCTGTTCGCAAATAGCCTGGATCCGCCGCGGGGGATTCACGGCAAATTTCATCAAAGCAGCCATGTGTTTTTCGGGCGTTTGTGAGTATGCACTTTGCGAGTAGTGGAATGCGCTCGGCGAGGAGGAGCGACACGACGACAGTGAGGCGGAGAAATCGCAGGATGCGGGCCGCGTTCGCCCCCGGCGACCATCCCACAATCCAAGGCCGCCTGGCCAGCCCAAGGGGAGGGGGCGGCGAATCGGGGACACCACGGTCGCCACTGGCCGCACGGGCTGCGAGGCCGCCCTGGCGGCCGCACCGCCATCAGCGCCGCGCGCGGACGCGCTCATGCAGCAGGCGGAGGCAGAGCGGCGGCAGGCGCAGGCAGCCGCGCGTGCCCCGCGGCAGGCCGAACGGCGGCGCCGGCGGGTCGACGACTCGCTGAGAACACTGGCCGGGGCCGGCCGTGGCGGCGGCCGGATCCGCGGCGGCGGTACCGAGGAGGCCCAGCTGGCGCCTGCCCTACCGGCGAGAGCGCGGGCGCCGCCCCTGCTGGCGCAGCGGCCCGTCCTCTCGGGGCCGGGCCGCGGCTGCTGGCGCGGCTGGGCGGACCACAGGCTGGCTGCGCCGCGCCATGGCTGCCGCCCCTGCGCGGGCGGGGCCCCCCGGCACTCGCCCGCTGGCGCTGCGCGGGTGAAGGGATGCTGCTGTTGCTGCTGCTGCTGCTGCTGCGAGCGCCGCGCGCGCCGGCGCGCGCGCGCGCGAGAGGCCGAGTTGCGCGCGGCGGTGCAAGGCCGTTTGCATCAGCGCCCTGGCCCGCCAGACTATTCAGTGCTTTAGGTGGTTCTTGCCGCTTCACAGAAGCTGCTGTGTTCCTCTGGCTTCTTTTTACTCCTCCTCCTCCTCCTCTTCCTCCTCCTCCTCCTCCTCCTCCTCCTCCACCTCCTCCTCCTCTCTCTCCTCTCCCTCCTCCTGCATCATCTCCTCCTCCTCCTCCTCTCCTCCTCCCTCCTCCTCCTCCTCCTCCTCCTCCTCCTCCTCCCCCTGTGACTTCACATTTGCCGCTGGGCTTCGCTGGCTGGTGCACATGGGCGCCCTGCTGGGCTGGAGGGGCTCCGCGCTCCCTCTCTCTCTCTCGCTCTCTCTCTCTCTCTCTCTCTCTCTCCGCGTTCGGGTGCAGCGAGCGAGGGATGCCTCAAGCTGCGAAACTGCAGACAGGAAGAGTAGGCAGTGAGGAGGCTTTGACTTGATAACGTCGTATGCCACAGCTTGACGTGCGAAGGCGCACGGTGCGCAGAAAGGGAGCCCAGAGCCCCAGCTAACAAATCGCGCGACCGTCTTTCGCCCCCGAGTGAAGGGGAGTGAGGAGGGAGAAGTGGGAGGAAGGGGCAAGAGGGATGAGGGAGGAGCTTAGGGAGGCGGACAGGACAAAACGCCGACAGTCGTCCCAGAGAGCGGCACTATGAGAGCACGGAGGTGGCGCCAGAGCGCTGCAAGCACGTTGGCTCCACGATGTCCAACAGCAAAAAAGCGACTGCACACACTGCAAAAAGGACAACAGTACTAAAGTATCGGCGGAATCTACACTCCTGAAGAGGCCGAACGACTGACAATTTGGAGGCAATGGAGCGGGAGAAGATGAGCGCCACATATGCATTGGCGGACAACTGCTACGGGAGAGGTAGGAAAAAGGGAGGAGGGAGACTTTCGATGCTTTACTGGATTATGAATGGATCTGCATGTTCTGAGGGCGGGGGTCGTGGGGAGTCCTGAGACATGAAAGAGAAATTAAGAGAGAGAGAGAGAACAAAGAGAGAGAGAGAGAGAGAAAGAGAGAGCGAGAGAAATAATAAAGAAAGAAAGGGAGAGGTCAAACATTGAGAAAGAGAGAGAGAGAGAGCGACGGAGAGAGACAGAGGAAGGAATAGTAAAAGGATTAGTTATACTGAATCGAGTGTGTGTGTGTATGTTCAGTCTGTTGTTTTGTGTCATTTGAGTTGTTGATATGTGGTCGTTGAACGCTCCAACCAGAGGCTGCATCTGCACTTGTTAGAGCGCTTTGTCTGTATATCTGGTTCTCGCCTGGCGAATTTGGCAAACGAGTGGTCTCATCGGGTGGGCTGCACACGAAAATAACTGGCGTCAAGGCTCACCGTGCTCTTCTAGCGCCACCTCCTACTCCAATTCATCATGCTCCTCATCCACTGCTCACCCGACTGCCCCTCCTCCTCCTCCTCCTCCTCCTCCTCCTCCTCCTCCTCCTCCTCCTCCTCCTCCTCTCACAGTTCTGCGCCTCCTTACCATCGCAGGCTGAGTTTTCAAGTCCAGTTAGCCGATGGCATTTGGCCAACGGTGGTGCCACTGTTGAAAAACATGTATGGATAAACGACGGGCGGGGAGAAATCCGAGGACATGTGCGACCCGAACAGACGCCCCAATGGATGACGCTGACGATGTCTCCAGCGGTAGGGAGATACGACGGGCGGGACGGCTGCGTAATCAGTGGTGCCCCGTGCCACTTCCCTCTGACAGCTCGGGGGTGGCGGGGGATCCAGCGGAGTCCAGCAGACCCCTCAGAACCCCCCGAAATCTGCGCCCATTCCCCCGCCAGCGCGCGTCCGCCAGCACTAAGGATCAAAACCGGCAGAAACACAAACTTCCGACGGTCCGCACGGATTTCTTGGATCTGCGCTGGACCCCCTCCCTGGCGCGCGGAACGCGCCAGGGGCGGCGCCCAGGGCGTCGCCAGGGAGGCCCAGCGCAGAGCAAAGAAATCCGAGCGGACCGTCCGAAGTGTATGTTTATGCCATTCTTATGTCTGCTCTGCTACAATTGACCCCTAGGAGCACCCCTAAGATCTCCCCCCCATCCGCCCGCGCGCGTCCGCAAGTATGCAGCCGCGACCCCGAAAGATGTGGGAGTACATGAAGCGCACGCCCTCCCGCTGGTGCGGCAGCAGGCAGCAGGCCACCTCTGCGGGCCCGAGCGGGCCTCTCCCAGAGCCCAGCACCAGACAGGGATGCAGAGGGGGGAAGAGGAAATGCAGGAAGCACAGCCCTCGCGTAGCGATATTAACCACGTCCACAGCTCCAGGCCAGCTTTGCAGTGGAATGCGACGAGGGCGGACGCGACGATAACTACGAGAAAGGACGGCCCAGGACGGAGGGGCAGGAAGAGGCGGCGGGTGCCCACGTGATCAGGGACGGCGAGTCCCGTTGGCAAGAGGAGGCCGCAGTGAGGAGGCCGTGCAGCAAGCACAAGATGGGAAGGAGAAGGTTTCGGGGGGTGTGGGAGGGGGGGATCAGGGGCACGAGTGGACGAGTGGATGGGGAGGGGTGGAGAGAGAGAAGACGAAACACGGAGAGGCGCATGGATGAGGGAGAGCAGTGAAGTGTGAGGAAAAGAGAAGATGGGGGTCGCAGAATCGAAGCGCCCCACCGATGCATCATCTGTGAGTTCGGGCGGGGAAGCAGGGAGTTGGGAGCGCGCCGCCAGCGACAGTGCATCGGCGATGCGGCGCGATCTGCGGACCAGATGTACTCTGGCCCCATTCGGGCGGCCTGGATCATCATCACTTCGGACTGCTGAGGTATTTTTCTCGCAATTGTATACGCTTCTCGGTTTGTGCGTGTCATCCTTGCGCAGGGGCCATGCTGATCTTCTCTGTATCGTTCCAATTTTAACGGATGATCCCCGAAGGGAATCCTAAGGTATTTTGCTCGCAATGGAGTTCGTCCGGCATGGGCGCAGCTTCTCGTCTGCTGGGTGTGCTGCGGCGACTCCCGGCTGTCACGCTGAGAGGTGAGCCGCGATTGTGTCTCGCCGTGCGTCGTGAGCTTCAGTCTCGGGTGCAGTCCGATCCTGGGGGCTCCTGCAGAGTCGAAGGTTGCAGCAGATGCCACTCGTAGGAGATAGACAGATATATAGACAGATGTATCACAACAGCATCATAACACACACTATCATCAACAGCGACAACATTACCAACAACAACAGCCGCAGCAGCAGCAACAACAACATCAACATTAACATCAATAATATCACCATCAACAACAACAACAACAACAACACAACAACGTCAACAACGTCAACAACAACGTCACCAACGTCAACAGTGTCAACGTCAACGTCAACGTCAACAACAACATCAACAACAACACCATCACCACCAACAACAACGTCACCAACGTCAACGTCAACGTCAACAGCAAGGTCAGGGTCAACGTCAACGTCAAGGTCAGCGTCAACAACAACAACAACAACAACAACAACAACAACAACAACAACAACAACAACAATCCGCCGACCCCTTGGGGTCACAGCGTGTGAGATGCTTTCCCCTTCCCAAACCCTTCCCCCGGGAGCCCAGTCCGGCCGGTTTGGAGGGGGGGTGGGGGTGGGGGGCAAAAGTGAGGGCCGCGCCCTTGGAGCCTCAGGGGGCCCCAAAACGGGCCAAGAGGGCTCTCAAAGGAACCCCGGACAGTCCAAGAGGGCTACGAGTCGCCGAAAGGTCGCTCCACGACGCCCAAGGTTGCCTCCAGACGGCCCCAGAGGCCCCCAGACGCTCCAAGATGCCACCAAGAGGCGTCCCAAGAGGCCCTCCATGAGCAAAAATCGTCAAATTCCATAACGACAACATATACTTTTAGCACATTCGCCTCGCGTCGTGGACTCTCACGAGGCCCACAGCGGCCCAAGATGCCTTCAGGTTCGACCCCAATTAGCCCAAGAGGCCCCCAAAAGGGCTCCAAGACGGCCGAAGAGGGCCCCACGACGGTCCCAGAAGCCGCCAAAACGGCCCAGGAGGGCCCCAGGACGAGAGGTGGCCCAGAGGGGGAACCCGAAATGGACATTTCGAGCACTCGGCCCTGGAAAAAACTGAGGCGCCACGAGGCCCCCGAGAGGCATCAAGAGGCTCCCAAGAGGTTCCCACGAGGCCCCTAGAGGCCTCAACACAGCCCCAAAGAGGCCTCAAAAGTGCTGCCAAGAGAGCCCAGAGAAGCCCAAAAACAGAGCCACGATCCGTCAACCGCCCCCGACGAAATCCCACGAAGCGGAAACCCCAATATTCCCCAGAAGTCGCGCGCGTTCCGCAAACTCCGGTGTTCACTCTTACTGCCGCCCCAAGGGGTCGGTGGTGCGACGTCAGCAAAACAATCTGCTGAGAATCATCCCCCAGGTTTCGGTCGCGATGTATCAAAAGCGGCTGTGCATCTGCGACCCCGCAGGTCTCCTCCACACGCCGAACGTCCGTCGAAATCTTAAGAAAATCGACAAAACCTACCATTTTGCAGTGGGCCCACAGAGAGCTCGCGAAATTGCCCCAGAGGACGGCGGCACGGCCTGGACGGTCAGAAGCGAGGACGAAGCTGGTCGAAGAGAGCACCTGGAAGGAGCGAAGTTCACCTCAGAGAACGTCTAGAGCGCAGGGCGGCCCAGGGCGGAAGACGACACAAGGAAGCGTGAACAAGGTCGGGGTGAGCTCGAAGAGTGCTCGGTGCAGTCCATGTGATGCTAGGGATGTGGTGCACTCCATGTGGTGGGATCCATGTGGTGGCTTATGGGAGGTTCAATGCGCGAGCACGAAGTGCAATGAGTCCACGAAGGGCAGCGAGGGGGCCACGAAGGGCTGCAACGGGGCCACGAAGGTCAGCGAGATCCCGATTCCTAAGTAAGCTGTGAGGGAGTCCTAAACGTGAGCGCGACGCCTGGGTGCCTGAGAGTCGGGAGCGCGGCGCTGGAGTAAAATCAAAGGTTTTCAAACGCAAGAGCGCGTTTCTTGAGTAAACTGCAAGCAAGTCTCTGGCGAGAGCGCGACTCCAGAACGCCGAGAGAGCGATTCCTTAACAAAATGTAGCGACGTGCCAAGCGAGAGCGCGATTCCTGAGTAAAATGCGAGGTAGTCTCGGGCGGGCGCGGGGGTCCTGCCAACATCGTGAGAAAATCTCAGGCGGGAGCCGCTGTTGTTGTTGTTGTTGTTGTAACCCGGCGGCCAGCAACACAGTTTGACCCTAGTGACTTCCCCTGGTAAAAAAACTGGGTGCGAGCCCTGGGGGACGCACTTCAATTGAAAAACACAGTGGTCACCAGAGGGGGGATCAACAATAACTCTTCAGTAAGGAGAATCTATCAACAAGAAGAGCACCATCAGCAGCAACCGCAACAGCAGCAGCAGCATCATCATAGTCGGCAACAACATGATCAGCATCAGATTCGTCCATCACCACCACAATCATCAGCATCATCATCAACATCATCATGATCATCATCATCATCATCATCATCATCATCATCATCATCAGAAGCAGCAACATCATCAGCAGCATGATCAGAATCATCACCATCGCCATCATCATCGGCATCATCATCATCCTCATCATCATCAGCAACCTCATCATCCTCATAATCATCGTAGTGCCACCATCGTTATCGTGATCATGAGCATCACCATGAGCATCATCATCATCACCATCAGCAGCGTCACCAGAGTCAGCATCATCATCAGCATCATCATCACCTCAATCATCATGACATAGAACTCGGCGGCATCATGATCACCACCATCACCACAACCATCACCACCAAAACCATCGTATCAATGAACCTCAGAATGATCAGCAGCCACTCGATAAGAAACATCACCGTACAATTAACAAGCATACGAAGACCAAACAGAAGTGCCATCATATTGACCAGCATCATCATCAACATCAGCATCACCATCACACCATGATCGTCGTCCTCAACAGCACCACCATCACCCCCCAACACCATCCGATCCTAATCAGGATAATCAGAACCGCCAACATCATCACAAACACGATCGTCATCAGCGTCATGAGCATCACCAAACTCACCAACAGAACATGCTGTCTTCATCTCGTAACCATCACGATTACCACGAGCACAAACATCACATTAACCCGGAGAAGCAATTAAGGAACTCCCCGGCGTTATCATTAGCACCGCGCCGTAATTAAATAATTATTTGGGGGGGTTTTCGCCGAGCGATATTATTAGCACCGCGCAAATGGAAGGAAAATAAATAATTCCAGCGCCCCGCCTCGGGTGGCATCCCAATTAGAATTGTAATGAGAATAAGAATGCGAATACGAATAAGGAAAAGCTGAGAAAAGCTAAGGAAAAGCTTAGAAAAGCTAAGACAAAGTTGAGAAAAGCTGAGAAAAGCTGGTGTACCCCTCCTGGTGCCAGGATAACGCTTCCGGGTGCCGGGTGCGTTATCCTTTCACCGGAGAGGGGGGGGGGGGGTCCTTAATCGCTTACTCGGGTTAATAACTAGCATCACCACCGTTATCACAACCAGCATACCCATAACCATAATCAGAATCGTAATCATCATGATTATCCTCCACCTCCTCCGCGTCATCACCATCACCATCACCATCCTCATTCAGGTCCTGGCCCTCCACTTTCATACCCCTGCCCGCTTGCTGGCACTTCCTCGCGACCGCAGGCGGCCGGGCGCGTGGGGGGTGGCGCCCCGGGCTCCAGGAAGAAGCCGTGGTCGTCCTCTGGCCAGCGCCGCCGCCCCAAAACGTTTGAGGGGCCCCGCACAGGCCTGGATCCTACGGTGGGGAGCTTTTGCTTAGGGTGTCGCGGCAGCGGCCACCAGCGACACGTCATGCCCTGCAAGCGGCTAGCGTGTAGCTCCGCTCCCCAGAGCGGAAGACTTTGACGCCCGGCGACTGGGACGTGGTCAGCGTGTCGCGCCGAAGCGTGGTGGGCCAGTACCGGCGGCGAGACACACTGACCTGAAGCTCCCGATCCTAACCAGTGGGGCTAGTATCCAAACAAGGCTTGGATCTACGACACAGAGCCGTCACATGGTGGGAAATCCTCTGCTACCAGCCTCCGTTGGCCGTGGCGCCCGCGTGCCGGTCCCCGCATGGGCTTCGCGAGGTGTGCTCAAGAGCTCGCGCGGGATCCGCATGGGTTCGCGCAAGTGTGCGAGCGTGTGCTGTGCGTGTGTGCCCTTGCGCCAGGGCGCTTTTCGGCGGTGGACAAACCTCCCTTTAGTAAACCTCCCCTTACTGAAAACGGCCTGGGACCGAAACCGACGGACCTGGACCCGCAGAAATGACGGCCGCGACGCCCTCTCGCGAACCGAAAACGGCCAATTCCTTGATCCACGTGTCAGGGTAGGAGGTCTATCCACCTCCGAGCTCTTGCCCTGGACCCCCTCCTGAGCGGCGACCCCGGGGCGCCTTCCTGCACACCCGGAGCTGCTCTGTACTGGGCCGCCGCCCCCTCCCGTGGGCACCGCCGCCCCCTCCCGTGGGCACCGCCGCCCTGGGCACCTGCAGAGCGCGCGGCCCGCGGGCTCCCCTTCGGCCTCCTCCACGGCCTGCTGCTGGGCACTGCCTCGGACCCACCGCGCGCCCCCGCTGCCTCTGCTCGCCCTCCCCGCTGCGCCCTCCGCTGCCGCCCCGCCCTCGGCTGCCCAGGAGGCGTGGGGCCGCCCGCTCGAGCCGCTGCCTCTGCTGCGCTCCGCCGCCCGGGAGCTGCCGGCCTGGTGCCCCCGCCGGCGGTGGATGCGGATACGGTTTGGCCCCCTGGGGCCCCAAAAGTGTATATCCGCGTCCACCGCCGGTCGGGGGCTCCGAGGGTCGACCCTCCAGGCGGTGGTTCCATAAGAATCCCCGCTTCGGACTCCCCCCCCGCTGGCGCCCGGACCTCGACCTCCGCAGGTGCTGCCACGGGAGAAGGGGGGGGAACCGCGGGAAACGGGAGCTGGCTCCCGCGGCCGTCCCCCGTGACCAGTTCCTCAGCCTGCGTCGCTTGTGGACTGCCCTGCGGCCGCCGCGAGCCTGGGGGGGGGCCCGGGAGCACGGCGACAGCCCATCAGACCTGCTTCCATCATGCCCTCAGGACCCATCTCGGCGGCGGGCGAGGGGGGAAGTGAGAAGGAGAAGGCCTTCTCAGAAGGTTCGGAAGTCCCCCGGCATTCTGAGAAGTGCTCTGAGCCTTCCCCGAAGACAAACAAAACCTTCTCAGAACGCCCGAGGGCCTCTGAGAAGGCCCGCCGCCTTCTCAGGGGGCATTACCCTTCTCACTTCCCCCCCTCGCTCAACGCCGACCACCTGGCTTAGCGAACGAAGATCGGTGTGACATATGCTTTCCGCCGGCGGGGACGCCTGCCCCAGGGCGGCTGGAGGGTGCAGAACCCTACGGTGGCACGCAAACGTCCCTCCCCGGTGCCGCCCTACTCCCTGACCGATCTCCCTTTCCCTCCCTCCCCCTCGACCCGTCCCGCCCTTGCCTCTTGCCCTGGGCCCCACCAGGATGACGCACCGGAGGCCTCAGGGCCGAGCTCGCCCCCCCAGGTGCGATTTTGTCATGAACCAAGGGGCCCAGGTCACATCGGAGGTGGACTTTGCTTCCAGCGCAATCCACAATGCAATCCCCTCGCATGTCTCCGCGCATCCCTCCTCATCCCCTCCCTGACTTCCCCCCCCTGTTCTCCCTCCTTCCGTCACTCTCGGCCCCTCGGGCCCTCGGGCCCTTCCGTCGCGCGCCGGCAACGTGCAGCAGTTATTGTTCTGACGATAACGATAACCCAAGGATACAAAATAGTCACTATCCCTGCATGTTCAGTCCTCCCCTGTCCTCGACACCCCTCACGAGGATCGTGGCCTCCGAGGGGGGAGCCGCAATCGACTACCCCCCCCCCCGCACCAAGAGGCCCCCAAAAGCCCCCAAGAGGGCCTGGGGGCCCCCAAGACGCCGCCAAGGAGCCCCAAGAGACTCCCAAGAGGTCCCCAAGAGGCCCTAAGGAGGGCTCCAGGGCCGGCGGAATGAGCGAAGCGATTAAATAAAAGAGTCACTCTCCCTGCATGTTCAGTCCTCCCCTATCCCCCCTCCCTCGCCCATCCCAACCTGGCCCTCCCCGCCTGCCTCCCTCACCGTTCTCCCGTCCACCGCCTCGGACCCGGACTCCTCACTCCCCCCCCCACGCTGCTCACCTCTCGCGTGTCCGCTGCCCACCCCCGTCCTCCTCGCTCCGTCATCCTGCCCTGGTTCGTCCTGCGGATCCTGGCATCCGTACCTCACCCGTCCCTCTCTACCCTTCGGCGGCGCGGACCAAGGCGGGGTTGGCCTCGGAAGGCTCCTCAGAAGGGGGCAGGGCTCCCAAAGGCCTCCGCATGCCTAGCTGAAATGTCCCCCCCTCGCGCCACCCACCTCCTGAAGGATCGATGCTGCTGATGATGACGATGATGATGATGATGATGATGATGATGATGATGATGATGATGATGATGATGATGATGATGGTGGTGATGATGATGATGATGATGATGATGATGATGATGATGATGATGATGATGATGACGATGACGATGATGATGAGGATGATGAGGATGATGATGATGATGATGATGATGATGATGATGATGATGCTGATGCTGATGCTGATGCTGATGCTGATGGTTATGATGATGATGATGCTGATGCGGATGCTGATGATACTGCTACTGATACTGATACTGATACTGATACTGATGCTGATGCTGATGCTGATGACGATGACGATGACGATGACGATGACGATGACGATGCTGATGCTGATGCTGATGACGATGACGATGACGATGACGATGACGATGACGATGACGATGACGATGACGATGATGATGATGATGATGATGATGATGATGATGATGATGATGACCCTCCGAACGCCACCCTCCTCCTGCAGGATCGATCTTTGAAAGGCCTCGGCATGCGGTGGATATGGACATATGGGGCCTCCGCACGTCCCGAGCAGATCCGTGCCCGCCGCCTGCCGAGCTCCCCGACGAGCGATCCCACCGGCTGTGGCTGTGGATACATCTCCCCGCCTCGAGCCGGCCCTCCTCTATCGGGGAGAGACGTGTGGGATTCGGGGGTGCGCAGACGAGCCCCGTCGCCAATCCACGCCCCCGTGATCCATGTCTGCGATCGCCTGAGGAATGGGGAACAGCTCAGGGGGGGGGAAGCACCGACCCAGAATCGACGATGCATCGCCGATGGATCGGCGATAGTCCCCAGCTAGCGAATCCGCGGTTGCTGGGCGCGGTGGGCTGCTGCGCCCCATGCGTGGGCGATGAATGGGTGATCGGGGTCGATGCACTCCCCCCTGGGCCTATCCCCCCCTACCGTTGCGCCAGATCCTCCCCTCGCCCCCATCGCCAGCGAGGTTGGCTTGTTCCATGGTGCGTTTTCTCCACCTGGCAGGGGGGCGGCAATGACGACGACGATGACGACGACATCGACGACGTGGGCGACGACGACGGCGAGGCCGTCGACGACGGCGAGGACGACGACGACGACGACGACAACCGACGTCGGCGTTTTCGCCGTGTTCCTGCTTTCTGAATCTCTGATCTTCAACCTTGTCGCCTCCGAGGGGGCCGCAGACGGCGCTGCGGTTCTCAACGTTCCCGCCTGCCGAGGCGATCCGATCCGATCCAACCCAAAGCCCCCTCCCCCCCACGGGACTGGCTGGAAGGGGCGAAAAACATCCATGTCCGCATCCGCGCCTCGCGGGCTGGGCCCCTGGGCCGCGACCCCGCGGAGACGGGGTACCTTTTTATTCGCGGCTGCCCCGCGCGCAATGTTTTGTCCGAGCAATCGCGCCTCCGCGGGATCGCGCCCTGGAATCCCGACCGCGAGGGCGTCGATGATACGGACTTGTTTTCCGTGGGCGAGGGCGCAGCAACGGCGACGACGACGACGACAGCGGCGACGACAACGACGACGAGGACGGCAAAGACGACGACGACGACGGTGACGACGACGACGACGACGACGACGACGACGACAACGAGGACGGCGGCGAGGACGACGGCGAGGACGACGACGACGACGACGACGAGGCCGGCGGGGGCACGGTCCTCGCCCCTCAGCGCCAGCGATCCCGCGGCGCCGGGCGCGTCGGGAGGGCGGGAGCGCGCCGCGGCGGCCGACGCCATCCTCGGAGCTGGGCCGGGGGGGCCCGGGGCGGGGGGGTGGTCGTCCGCCCTCGCCCCGCAGGAGCGAGCGCGGTGCGCAGCCGCGGGCGGGGGCGGAGCGGAGCCCAGACTCCCTCGGGCCATGACAACAACACGACGGGAGGTGTCTTTTTACGTGTGTGTGTATGTATATATATATATATATATATATATATGTATGTATATGTATATGTATGGCTCTCTCTCTCTCTCTCGGCCCCTGGGGGCCTTCACCGGCCCTGAGGACCTTCAAACGACGACTCAACTCAGGATCAAGCCCTCTGCGGGAGAAGGTGGAGGCTGGTCCGGCGGGAAGCTTGAAGGGTCGAGGCATCTGGGGGTCCAGACCTCTGGGGACCGTCGTCGGGGCTCTGGGAGCGGAGCCCCTGTGCGAGGTGGGGCTCCCACTGGTCCACGGGCGACACGTGTGCACCGTGCCGCGCTGACGCCTCTCGAGGCGTCGTCGGCCCTCGACCCAGGAATGGTACGGTGCACATGCGTTCGGCACTGTGCACCGCAGCGCGCTGGAGCGGGGGCTAAGCAAGTCCAGACATGGGAGCCGACCTCGTATACTCAGGTGAGCGTGGCTTATGCTCAGCAGCAACTCTCGCACAGCCTTGCGGCACCATCCGCGTGCGGCAGCGGAGCTGCAGCACTGAGCCTCTGCAGCCTGCGAGCGGGACTCCTGGGACGGGGCTCGGGACGAGAACACTGGGCGGCAGGGGGCAGGGGGGGCAGGGAGGAGGCGCTTCAGGAGGAAGGAACAGGTACCGACGCCACAGCCTGTCCCTCATCGTAACGGCTGGGTGTCTCTCGAAGTGCTAATCAGAACGCACCCCTGGACGAGGTCCAGGAGTGGCGGTATCGGAGTATTCTTACTCCCTTAGATCTGGCCTGATCTGCGGGAAGCGCAGAGTGCGCTTTCGGCTCTCGCGGTCAATTCCAGGCCCGTGCTCCCACCTTGAGCTCCCCTTGAAGTCACTCACCCCTACAGCCCCCTGCACTACACCACCCTATAGAACCCCGTATAGAACCGCAGCGAACCATATCTAATCCTCCTCTTCTCGCCCCTCCTTCCTTCCTTCCTGCGGATCTCACCTCCTGCTCTCGGGGCAAGGCGAGTTGCGACGACGGAACCTCAAACTCAGTCCCCAAACCCCTCCTGGGGTCCAACCGCATCAATGTTTTAAACTGCGTCCAACCGTGCCGACGAGAGCCCCCCTGAAGGCCAACTACCGTTGTCTCAATTCTCGCCCTCCTCCTCCTCCTCCTCCTCCTCCTCCTCCTCCTCCTCCTCCTCCTCCTCTGCTGCTTCATCCTCCTCCTCTGCTGCTTCATCCTCCTCCCCTCGCGCTCCTCGGCTGGTGCGGAGCAAATCGGGTAACGAAGGCTGTGCCGAAGCTGGCGCCCGAGTGAGTCGGGGGGCGCCGCCCCGGCAGCAGCGCCAGAGACGCGCTGCACCGACTGAGGGCTGCGGCCTGCGCCCGCACCGCGGCCCACGGGAGGACACTGTGCCGAAGGGGAGGGTCAAATGCTCCCCCTTCCCCTCGATTCCTTCCCTCCCCTCGATTCCCCCCCCCTCACTCCTCCTTCCTTCCCTCCCCTCGATTCCTTCCCCCCCCCCGCTCCCCCCTCCACTTCCCTCCGCTCGGCCTCCTCCTCTCGCCGCGGCCGCGGCGGACCCATCCCCCCGGGCGGGGCGAGGGGCGGCACGAGGGGCCTCGTGGCCTCCTGGCTCCCGCCATCACGCGGGGGGCCCAAGCAGAGATGGGCTCCCGGCGGCTGCGCAGCGCTGCCCTGACGCAGGCGGGAGCTGCACGGCGCGCCCGTGCTCTCTTTTGCGCCGATGCGCCGTCCGGGCGCCAGGCTTGCTGGCCTGCTCGCTTCCCCCCCCCTCCCCCCATCACCCGCCCCCCCCTCCCTCCGCCCGTCCTCGAGGACAGCGGCGCATCGCCGGGGCTCCCGCCAGCGGCGGCGGCGGCGCCGCCTCCCACTGGGCTGGCAGAGACCGCAGCGGGTCGGGGCAGGTTCGAAGAGGGGGCTCGAGAGCGCTCCTCCTGCCCCTCCCTCCTCCTCCTCCTCCTCCTCCTCATCCTCCTCATCCTCCTCCTCATCCTCCTCCTCCTCCTCCACCCTACTCGTTATAGTTGTCCTCCTCCCCATTTAGCTCATGTTGACCGCTTTCTGTTCCTCCACTCAGCCCCGCGTCCTCCTGCTGTTCCTCCTCCCCCTCATTCCTCCTCGACCACCCCATCCTCCTCCTCCTCCTCCTCCTCCTCCTCCTCCTCCTCCTCCTCCTCCTCCTCCTCCTCCTCCTCCTCCTCCTCCCCTTCTTCTCGTGCTCCCTCCTGATCCTCACCCTCCTCCTCCTCCTCCTCCGACCCCTCCCGAAAAACTACGCTGTCGGAGACCCTAGGCACGAAGGGCCGGGTGCGAGATCCCAGGTTGGGAGAGCCTGGGGTGGCAGAGTCATGGCACACTCCTCCTCCCATCGCGCATGTACAAGTTCCCCTGCCACCCGCAGCTAACGTCGCTAACGCACTATCGGCCCGTGCCTCAAAACTCGCCGACAATCCGCAAGAGTATGGATACTTTCACGGACTGACAATGGATTGTCGCGCTCCTGCTGCGAATCGTCCAGGGGTGTTAGCTCCACGTCGCGGAATGTCGGCGGATTGTCGCGCTACCATCTCGGATTGCCGCGCTCCTGTCGTCGTTTGGGTGGCTGAGTGGAGAATGATAAGGAGGAGGAGGAGGAGGAGGAGGGGAGAGGAAAGAGACAGGGCATGAAGACAGGAGGAGAATTACCCGAGACGTGCCCACCCCCTTCTCCAAGCGGGGCGAATATGTGTGATTAGCCATACGAAAGAGCACGTCAACAGATGTAACCAGCATCTTGCGTAACTCTAATACCCCGAATGTGGGCAAGCCAAGAGGAGTTGACCATCTTAGGAATGCGCCCTCAGAAACTGAGGGGATCCCTAATATCGGCATCGAGATAAGGCGATGTGCCTCCCAGGAGCACACGAAAGTGGCTGTAGTTGCGCGGTTCGCAGCCCCCGCGGGGTCCGCGACAACCCAAGTGGATATGTGCTGCCCTCACCTCCGCCGTGCCTCCGCGGAACCAGCGAAAGTGGTGACAGTTGCCCATCTCGAAGGCCCTGAAGGAGCCGTAAGGTCTCGAATGGATCTGCGCTGCCCCGGAGCCCGCGCAACAAGCCACGGTCGTGGCGATAGTTGCCCGCTTCGCAGCCGCCCAAGGATCCACGACGTATCGGCTTGGTCTGCCCAGGAGACCACGGAAGTGGCGACAACTGCGCAGTGGGCAGCTCCTGAGGGAGCCGCGAGGTCTCAAATGGCTGCGCGTGGCCCTCCACCCCGCTGGACCTCCCAGGCCTCCACGGGAAAGGAGCAGTTGCCCACTTCGCATCCACCCAGGGAGCCGAGAAGTATCGGATTGGTCTGCGTGGCCCCCTATTCCGCTGGACCTCCCAGGAGCCCACGAAAGTGGCGGCAGTTGCGCAGTTCGCAGCCACCCATGGAGCAGCGATATCTCCAATGGGTGCGCGGCATGGCCCCCGACCCCGCTGGACCTTCCATGAGCCCACCACAGTGGTGACAGTTGCCCAATTCGCAGCCACCAGGGAGTCGCAGGACTCGGCTGGGCGCCGCTGAACAACCTCTCAGGGGGCAACGATGTCCCAAATGGGTTCGCGTGGCCCCCGACTCTGCTGGACCTCCCAGTAGCCCACGCAAGTGGCGACCGTTGCGCAGTTCGCAGCCACCCCGGGAGCAGCGAGGTCTCAAATATCTGCGCGTGGCCCCCGACCACGCTGGCCCAGGAGACCACCAACATGGTGACAGCTGTGCAGTTCGCAGCCTCTCAGGGGGCAGCGAGATCTCGGCTGGGTCCGCGTACAATTCCACCCCGCTAGCACATCCCAAGGGGCAACGATGTCTCAAATGGGTTCGCGTGGCCCCCGACTCCGTTAGACTTCTCAGTGCGCAGTTCGCAGCCACCCCGGGAGCAACGAAATCCGCCGACCCTGCTGTCGTGTGTGAGGGGCTTGTCTGTTCGAGTCGTCGTCTCCGTCATTCGTTAGTCGTCGTCTCTATCGTCCCCTTTCCCTGCGCCCCCCCTTTCCCTGGGCCTGTCGCCGCCCCCCCCCCTTTCCCTGGGCCCTCCTCCTCAAGCGCTAGCCCGTCGCCGCTCCCCCCCCATTCCCTAGGCCCTCCTCCTCAGCCACGCCGGCCAACATGAAGTTGAGAAACGTCGCAATCGACTCGGAAGGAAGCCACCTCCCACTGATCCATCAGGATCACCACGATCAACTTTCTCTGCGTCGTCACCCTGTCCGCTATCATCAGCAGTCATTTCGTCGTCACTGCCATGTCGTCATCGTCATCGCCATCATCGTCATCGTCGTTCTCCTCAACATGGCCCTCATCGTCGTCGGCATCGCAATGGCCAGCGTCATCGTTGTCAGAACCATGATCTTCGTAGTCGTCGTCGCCGCCATCATCATGATGATCAGTAGAATCAATATCATTGCCGTCGTCACCCTGCCCATCATCACTATTTATGTCGTCGTCGGTGGCGTGTGTCGTCGGCCCGCTCCTCGTCGTCACCACCATGATCGTCATCACTATCAGCAGCATAAGGTGCAGCATCATCATGTGTATGCCATTACTAAAATCACCAACATCATGGACATCAGCATCCGCAGCCACATCAACATCGACATCAGCACGAGTATCACCACCAACACCGACCGTGTAAATCCGCACAACCATCATCAGCAACATAATCAGTCTCACCATCACCATCCATCATTCTCATGTCTGTCACCATCACGCCCACCACCATCACCATCACCATCGTAATCACCATCACAATCACGATCGCCATCACCATCACTGTAATCATCGAAATCATCAGCCTCATCAGCAGCATCCTCATCAGCATCACTCATCAAAGTCAATATCACCATCACAACCACCACCAGCATCATCATCACCATCATCAACATCATCATAATTATCATGAGCATCCTCAACATCTTCATCATCATCAGCATCGTCATCATGATCACAGTCACCATCAGCGCTATCGTCATCGTCATCATCATAATTAGCACACGCAACAGCATCATGATCGTCATCATAATCATTAGCATCATCACCCCAATAATCATAATCATCATCATCAGCAGCAACATCAGCAACATCAACATCACTATCGGTGTGACCACTATCAGCATAAACATAACTCTCAGCATCGTGACATTCATCGCCATTATCACAAACAACCGCATCATCAGTATGATCACCATCATCGTCATCGTCATACAAATCATCATCAGTCAGCAGATGTGTCATCATGAACATCGGCATCATCACCGTCGCCGTCGCCGTCGTCATCTTCATCACAACCACCATCATCGTCACCATCACCGGCATCATTATCAGCATCATGATCATCATCATATAAATCATCAGCAGCAGCATTATCATCATCCGCAGCATCATCAGCATCGCCATCATCAGCATCATCATCACACCTATCACTAACATCAGCAGCATCATCACCATCAACAACAGCACCATCATCATCATCATCATCATCAGCAGCATCATCAATATCATCATCATCATCATCATCACCACCACCATCATCATCATCATCATCATCATCATCATCATCAGCATCAGCATCAGCATCAGCATCAGCATCAGCATCAGCAGCAGCATCATCATCATCATCATCAGCAGCAGCAGCAGCATCATCAGGGCGGGGGAAAAACGCGACGGATCTCTCAAGAGGCCGCGTAAGGGCCTCCCAAGAAGAGGCACCTTACGAGCTTCCCAAGAGGGCGGCCCAAATCTTCGAGCATTGAAAACCTCCAACTCTGGAACTTGGTTTGTAATTCCGGCGGAGGTCAAACACATCAGAAAGCTTATAGCCGTCGATCGATCTTGACTCCTCGATCTTGCCCCCCATCCCCGCCCTCCCCGCCCTTGCCCCCTCCATGGGCACCGCACCCGTAAGTGACGGGGGGAGGAACGGAAAAGACGGCGGAGGCGCTGGCCAGCGCGGCCATCAATCGCCGTCGGCCTCTCGGGCGTCTCCTTCTTCTGCTCCGCCTCCTGTCGACCTCCCCATTCCCCCTCCCTCCTCCTCCCTCCTCGCCCTCGTCCTCCTTCTCCTCCTCCCTCCTTCCACCTCCCTCCTCCTCCTCCCTCCTCTCTCCTCCCTCCTCCCTCCTCCCTGCTCCCTCCTTCCTCCTGCCTCCTCCCTCCTCCTCATCCCTCCTCACTCCCCGCCTCCTCCTCCTCCTTCTCCTCTCCTCTCCTCCTCCTCCTCCTCCTCCTCCTCCTCCTCCTCCCTCCTCTCCTGCTCCTCCTCCTCCTCATCCTCCTCCTGCTCCTCCTCCTCCTCGTCCTCCTGCTCCTCCTCTTCCGCCTCCTACTCTCATCCTACTTCGTCTCCAACTCTTCCTCCTCCTCTCCCCACCCCCTCCACCCTCCACCTCCTCTTCCTCCTCCTTGTCCTCCCTCTCTCGTCCTCCTCTCGTCCTCCTCTTCTCCTTCCTCTCCTCTTCCCTTGCTCCTCCTCCTCCGCAGCAGGAGCAGCACCACCGCTGCCTCCTCAGCCTCCTCCTCCTCCTCCCCCTCCTCCCCGCCGCCGCCGCCTCCGCCACCTCCTCCTCCTCCTCCTCCTCCTCCTCCTCCTCCTCCTCCTCCTGCGTCTCCTCCTCCTGCGTCCTCCTCCTGCTCCTCCTCCTGCTCCTCCTCCTGCTCCTCTCCTCCTCCACCTCCTCCTCCTCCTTCTCCTCCTCCTGTCCTCCGCTCGTCTTCCTCCTCCTCCGCCTCCTCCTCCTCCTGCTCCAACTCCTCCGTAGCAGCAGCAGCCACCGCCGCGTCCTCTGCCTCCTCCTCCTCCTCCTCCTCCTCCTCCTCCTCCTCCTCCGCCGCCGCCGCCGCCGCCGCCTCCGCCGTCTCCTCTGCCTCCTCCTCCCCCTTCTCCTCCTCAGCCGGTCCTCCTCCTCATCCTCCTCTTCCTCCTCCTCCACTGCTTATTATTAGTATTAGTATTAGTATGGTTAGTATTATTGTTAGTATGATGTTTCGTCTCATCATTCGTCTTCTTCCTCCTCCTCGTCTTCTTCGTCTTCTTCGTAATGTTAGTACGATAATTATTAATATTATTATTGTTGTTAATCGGATTCCTCTTCCTCCTCCTCCTCCACTGAGTATTCGTATGTTTCTTATTATTACTCGTCTTCTTCCTCCTCCTCATCGTCTTCTTATTCCTTATCTTCTTATTATTATTGTTATTAGTATTACTATTATTCATCTTATGTTTCTTTCTCTTCCTCCTCCTCCTCTCCTCCTCTCCTCCTCCTCCTCCTCCTCCCCTCCCCCTCCTCCTCCTCCTCCTCCTCCTCCTCCTCCTCCTCCTCCTCCTCCTCCTCCTCCTCCTCCTCCTCCTCCTCCTCCTCCTGCGCGCTACCGCTCCCACCGTGCCAGCCCGAATTTACTCGCGCCGCGCCGCCAGATGGGCCGCTGCTGGCACGGCGGGCGGCGCCGGGCGACGTCCCCTGGGGAGGTCGAGGGCAGCCGAGAAACCAGGAGGGAGGGACGAGGGGGTGCAGGAGGGAGGGAGGGGGGAGGGGGAAGTCCTTCCCCCTCCCCCCTCCCCCCCCGCCCTCCCCCCCTCCCCCTCCTCCCTTCCTCTCGTCTCACTTCCTGGGAAGGAGAGGGGGGGAGGAAGGGGAGACGGGAGGGGGAGGGGGAGGGAGACGAGGAGGGAGAGGGAAACGAGGAGGGAGGAGGGAGGCGGAGGTGGAGGCGAAGCATGACGGCGAGGAGATGCAGGAAGGAAAATGGAGACCTCCCACATGGGGGGGGTAGGGTCGGAGGACCACGCCGCATCGCCGATGGACGCCGAACGAACGAACGAACGACCACCAACGCGGACAGCAGTCCGGGCCTACTGGAGACCAGGTGAATGAGGCCGTGGCCTCTGAAATAATATTGTGTATGGTGAGGCGTGCATGTGAGACGTGTAAAAAGTTATGTGAAACGGAGGGGAGGGGAGGAGGGCGAGGAATCCTTGTAGTCGATGTCATGGTGTGTTGGTGCCACGTCGCTGGGTAGAGTTTGTGCTGGTCCTGTGCTGGGTTTGGTGTTGGTGTTGGCACAAGGCGCCGGTAGTCGGTGTTGTAGTGCTTGGTTGTTGGTGGTCGGTGCTTGTGGTCGCGTGGTCGGCCGTCAGTGCTGCATGGCCAGAATCATGCAGCGACAAAGGCTCCCTCGAGTGAGTTCCACCATGCCGTCCGTGTCGCAGCTGTGAGCCACCTTACATCGTTGGTGTCGCGGTGGAGGTATCGTCGTGGCTGGGTGGCGTCGTCGTTGGCGTCGCGTTGTGTGTCGTCGTCGTCTGTCTGTCGATGCACATTGTGTAGGAACTATGGGGACGCCGATGGACGCCGACGGAAAAATGGAGGCCGCCCACATTGGGCCCGACCAGGTGCCGGGTGGGGTCGGAGGACCACACCGCATCGGCGATGCATCGGCACGGTGGGCGTGGAGAAAATCGGGCTCCACACCGAGGCGCACCGCCGATGCATCGGCGATGCGCGGCGATCCATCCGACCCCGTCTACTCGGGCCATACTAGCGAGGACTGGAGGAGGAGACAAGAAGCCTAACCCACCCGAACTCCGTAGGATAGAAACTATGACTGTGACGATGAGGAGTTGCTTCATGCAGGGTACTCATCTAGATCATTGCAAGCAAAACCCTAACCAAAACAGCAAAAGGAGAGGAAAGGGGACGGACAGATAGGGGTACTCCTCCACACACACACACACACACGCACACACACACGCACGCACACACACACACACGCACAACACAAGAGCACACACACACACACGCGCGCGCAATCACACACACACACACACACGCACGCAATGACACACACGGAACAAGTGAGGAGGATAAGCAGAGAAACGGTCGCGGTCGCCTCAGGCACCCTGTGGATACCAGCTCGCAGGTGGATCTCGCGTGGGCCCACTCGAGAAAAGGCAGAGACACGCTTCAGCACAACGTCAAGGATGGGGGTATTTGCGCGACCATGGCCCATGGTTCTCTCGCTCGGGCAAGGCATCAGTTCTGGGCAACACTCGGACTGGAGGGCGGGAGGAGGTTCGGCTACACGGGCGGGAGGTGGAACCATTCTCCACCATGCCCCACGGCACACTAGGACGTGGTATGATGCAAAAGACCTTTACAATTCAGTCAGGAATTGCGCAGGCTTCCAGAGCCCCCCCCCCCCCTCGTGTTACGCCCAGGAGCGTGCCCCCCCGCCCCGTCCCGAGGCCAATCGGGCGGCTCCCTAGCAGGCTCCGGTTTCCCCAAGATGCCCAAAGTGGTTTCAAACACGGTCAAAGAAGGAACCCTGGATTCACAAGAGGCATTGAAGATGATGCAACAAACACCATGCGACCGTCAGAGAACCTCCAAGGGGGCCTGGGAGAAGGCCAAAGAGAGACCGAGAGGGGCTCCGAGTTTTTTGCTGGTAATCCTGCTCCCCACGAGTATCGTCAATCTTGCATCGGTGGTGCCCAAGAGGAACCCGCCACTGCCACAGAATGGCCCAAGAAACCTGCAGGACTGCCCAAGAACATATGGGGAACAAAACGGCAGACCAACACACAACTAACCATAACCTACGAACACGAACGATGGCCTCCCAGGAGAGAACGGCAAACGGAATACAGCGCTGGAGCGGTGGCGGAACTTGCCGCGGACACCATACCTGGAAATTGGTTTCAAGGAAAAGTAAACGCGGCAGACGGAGCAGAGGACTACCATAAGGAATGCGGGGGACGAGCTGTAAGGGGGGGCTGGGTATGGGAAGGGAAATGGGAACGATAACGGACATGTAGGTCAAAAGTGGGAGGCCGCGAGTGAATGGGTGGTTCCACATGCATGCATCACACCCGCAGACTGAACAATGAGACGTGCCGTCATGATCGGGGGGGCGCGAGTACGTTGCAATGTTGTTTTGGCAAGGGCGGCGGGGGTGTCAGCAGATTGACTGCTGTACGTAGGGCTCGCACCCCTGTCAACAACAATGCGAAGTGCACGCCGAGGCAAAATCTGGATCATGCGCGGGCACCCCGCGATCACAGTGCACTGGTTGTTGGCTGGGACAGCAGGAGTGCTGACATCAGGCCTGCTGTGTGCAGGCCCACGATGGCCGCCCCGCCGCGATTGCGCACTGGTGTTCGACAAGGGTGGTGGGGGCCGACACGTTTCCCTCTGTGTACTGCCACGCCACGTGCGCAGGCGCACCTGGCACACTCTGCGCGCGCCCTTAACGTGGCGCACATGTCACATGGCGCGGCTGGAGAATGCGGCACGCATGATGCACCTGGATCACGGGGCGCATCTGGTGCACACAAGGCGTGCTTGGCACGCTTGGGCCAAAAGGGTGCCTGGCGCAGCTGGCGCGCGTGGCGCGCCTGGCACGCGTGGCGCACCTCGCCCCAGCGATGCGCACAAGGGGGTCCGATTTGGCATCTAAGGTGGCTCCGTAGTGGCATCTCAAAGAGGCTCGCGGACCGAACATTTCGCGAAGGCTTTGCGGCTGACTCGTCGATGTCGTCAGCGCCTTCAGCGTCGTCGTCGTTGTTTCCCTCCTCCGTGATTGCACTGGTTCGTCCTCTTCTTCTGTTCCTCCTCCTCCTCCTCCTCCTCGTCCTCCTCTTCCTCCTCCTCCTCTTCCCCCTGTATAATTGTTGTCCTCATGTTGCCGCAGGTGCCCCCCCCGCCCCGAGAGGGTTCCAAGCTAACTCCGAGAAGGCCCGCAGGAGGTCCCAGTGACGCCAGCGCGGCATGGGAACCCGTGCTAAATAATCCATCCTGCGCCCGCGGAGCGCTTCCAAGGCGGCTGTTGCACGACATGCTTCTACACTTCCCTGGTCAAGGCAACTCGCCTGGCGATCGTTCCTGGATGGGCTGGCGGGGCTACTTCTTTGCTTGCGAATGACGCGGAAGCAGCCGCGCACCGACATAGGGTCGAGCAGCGCAGGGCCAAGGCGTACAGCGCAACTGTCGCCAGCGAAGCGAAGATGAACACAAAAAACAACAATAAAAACAACAACAACAACAAGAAGAACAACAACAACAACAACAACAACAACAACAACAACAACAACAACAACAACAACAACAATCACTTTACCCGAACGCTCAGTGTTCTCACCAGTGCCAGGGTTTTCATGCGACGCCAGCCAATACCCCCACTTTGTGGGGGGGCAGTGCAAGCTCTACCAAATATCCACACGACTCTTCGCCACCACCCACACCCAGCTTCCCGCCCTATGACGTTCGGACACTTCACTTCGTGGCCTGCGGACGACCGTGGCTACTACACTGGCGTGGAGTACACACCCACAGAAGTTGTTAAGCCTACGTTCGTACGCCCACAGGGGGCAACCTATGGCGCAACCTATGGCGCAACCGATTCGTGTGATTTTATGATGCGCGGTGCTAACATTCTTAAGAAGCCCAATGGTTTTTGGAGATTTCGGCGTGCGCGCGCTCGAAGAAAAAACGAATGTGTCCCGCATGGTATTATTTGACAGGGATGATGGCCCTGGCAGGTGCGCAACCGTTGTCGCAGAAGTTCGAAAAAGTTGCTCGCAAAAGCCCGTTTGACAGAAATGTTTAAAAAGTGTTGGGTTTCCTACGAATCCGCAAGAGCGCGCGGGATGAGATTTTGACAATTTTTGTTGAAAAACCATTGGTTTTTTGATGTTTTTATGTTAAAATCGCTGCGAACACTAAGGTTTTGGAAGGATTTCGTCTTGCGCGCGCGAATGTCCACTTTACCTTATTTTTTGCAAGGGATTCTTGAAATTTGATTATATTAGAACAAGAAATGTCATTTTATAGTGTTTTTTGCAAGGGAAAGCGGGGGGGAACAAAACAACCGGATCTTGATCACATCGAATTACCTGAGGCTTCCTCACGAAAATGATGAAAATGTAGCTGCGGCCTAGGCGGCGCAGGGGGGCCGTGCACCAGGGGTCCCAACAATAATTATTCTTTAGAATTAATAATGTTCAACAACAACAGCAGGGGCGAGGGCGAACGAAGAAACAGAGGAAAAAGGCGAAAAGGCGAACAACGGAGGAAGAAGAGAAAAGAGCGAAGAGAGCGGAGAAGAAGGGGAAACGAGGCGAAACAGACGAAAATGCAAGCCGCGGTTCATGCTCACACCGGCTGGGAGGCGACCGTCCCTTGCCGAACAACCGGGCCTTGTAGTAAGGCTGACCCACGCCAGTCCAATGAACGCAGCTCTAGCGTCACAAGGTCGTATGCCGAGGTGCTGAGGCGGGGGTGACCAGGCGGCAGCCGAGGACAACCTGCAGCAGCAGCTGCTGACTGCCGGCCGTTGCTGGGGCCAGGGGCCAGGGAGGCGCAGCCCGCTGGACGCCCTCCGCCCCCTCCTCCTGCCAAGAGGCCTCAAGACTGGCACGCAAACGCCCGGGGCCGCCTCCGGCTAGCGAGCACGGCCATCGCTTCTC